TCTTCGCGGACCACGAGTGGGGAAGATGCCAGTCCGTGGACCATGGTGCACAGCAGAGCGTGAGGAGGTACCCGGGGAGGGGACAGGAGAGACTCCGGGTCTCCAGGGCGCAGGGCTGGGTGCGGAAGAGCACCTAGGAGCTCGAAACGGGTAGGGGCGATCGAGGGGTCAGGAAGCTGGGGCTCGGGTGTGTATTTGGGAGGAGGGGGAAGGGGAGAAGACTCAGGCTCGGGGTGGGGGCAGAGGCGTGGGAGAGAGGCGAGGGCGGAGCCGGTAGGGACAGGAGGCAGCTTCTCATGTCCGGGAACTCCGCCCCCGCCCTGTCCACCCCGAGGCAGAGCGGGGCTCTTACCTGAGAGGCCGAAGAGCCCCAGGCCCAGAGCAGCCCAGAGGCCGAGTAGCGCCCGGCGCAGCCCTGGCGAAGGCCCTGGCATCACCGCGGCGGGGAAAGCGCAGGAGGCGAGGGGAGCGCGAGCCGAGGAGCTGGGCTAGAGGACGGCTCGGCGCGGCGCGGCGGGTGGGGTGTGGGGGAGGCAGAGTTGCGCTCGGGGATTGGTTTAACGTTGGTAACTTGGTTTCCAAGGAGGGGGCGGCGGCAGAGGCGGCGGGGGGGCGGGAGGCGAGCGTGCGCTAAGCTCCTGGCCTTGGTGAAGGCGAGCTGGCAGGAGCGAGCGACCCCCGGGGTCTACGTGGAGGCCGGCATGATGGCCCAGAGCCTTCTGGGGGCGACCACGCTCTCCCGCGTCATCCTCGGCCGCGACTCTGGGATCGGGGGATGCTGGGTTGCCCTTCCCAAACCCCTACCCCAGCCCTGGCTGAGATGCGGTGATAATGAGCTGGACTCCGAGCTCCGCCCCCACATGTAGCTCCTCCCACCAGCGCCCCTTAGGGCGGGGTTGCATTTGGGGACTGAGAGAGGTTTGGGAGGCACGGGATGGGGAAAGGACAGTTCTAGGGAAGAATGTGGGGATGCCTCTCACCCGTCCTTCTCCTTTTGACCCCAAGAAACCACACCCCTAAGCCCCCCCCTCCCGCTCAGCCCCGGCTCGCGACAGAGGGGGCGGGACGAAAATGCCAGCGAGCCGGGGACACGTGTACGTGCGCGCAGCGTTCGCGGGCGTCTAAATTAGAATCCGCTCGGCTCCGGGTCTGTATTTACCCAGCGTGCAGCGGGCACGTGTCTACTCAGCGTGTGTGAGCGCCAGCCGCCCAGGAGCGCCCGAGTTCGCCTTCTGCTCGGTGGGCTGGGGCCCTGGCCCTCCACGCGAGAAGGAGGGACCGGGGGTGACCCTTTTGACTCCGCATCCGGGCCGCAAGCTTTGACAACCCGCTCCCCCTCCCACCCCATGTGCTCATCTGGCCGGATGACTACCAGAACATCGTCAGAATTCGATATGTGGACCATCTGATCACCCCTTCCCGGCTGCATGGGTACCTCTTTTGCGTATCCACGTCCCTCAACATGTCCATGGGACTCTTTCCTCTCTACCGTTCATGGTCTCACCCTAGCCCGGTGAGCTATTTTGGAGATGAGTTCTCGCTCCACAGTTGTTCTCCAGGAAAGCACAGGTTCTGAAGGTGGGGCTAGGATAGGAAACTTAACATCCAATCAGAGCTGCCGCCCGGTGGCGGCGGCGCCAATCAGGAAAGCCAGACCGTGAACCCTGCCCCGCCCCTGCCAGTGGCCCTCCTGGACCGCGCTGATCCCATCTGCACAGCCTCGATAATGCCAGCAGAAGGAGAGGTTTCTGCGACACCCTCTGGGGATACACAAAGTCTGCAGCTTCGGGACCTCAGGTGGGCCCTGAGTGAGGAAACCTCAGGTGCCCTCAGGGAGTCGAGGAACTTGGAGAAAGTGATTGCAAAAAAAAAAAAACAACCGGTTCCTCTGAAGAAGGGCAGTAATGGGAACCCTTAGGTCACAGGACAGAGGCTGGTTAAGGAGGCCTTTATTGATTTCTGGAGGGTTCCCCGCCAATATTTATTTTTTATTTTTATTTTTGAGACAGGGTCTCGCTCTGTTGCCCAGGCTGGAGTGCAGTGGCACAATCAAGGCTCACTATAACCTCGACCTTCAGGGCTCAAGCAATCCTCCCACTCAGCCTCCCGAGTAGCTGGGCCCACAGGCGCGCGGCACCAAGCCCGGCTAATTTTTGTATTTGTTGCATAGGTGGGGTCTCACCATGTTGTCCAGGCTGGTCTCAACCTCCTGGGCTCAAGCAGTCCTCCTGCCTTGGCCTCCCTAAGTGCTAGGATTACAGGCATCAGCCACTGTGTTCGGTGGATTCCCCATATTGTTCCAGATTCCTCTTTTGTCTCACTCAGCCTGAGTAGAACACGCCGCTTTACTCCGGAGACTTCATCGCTAGGTACTTGTACAGGTACGCAGCGCCCACGGCGAGGAGTATCCCCACAAGGGCAGCGATGGAACAGGAGGCCAAAGCTGTGGGCACGGGGCTCCAAGCTGGAAGCAGGAAGCGAGAATTAGGAAGGGGACAGAGGGAGGTCTGTCGACCCAGTGGAACTCACGCTTGGTCTGTGCGCCTTCTTGGGGTTAATAAACCTCTCTGCTCCCTTCCTCGTCCCCAGGATTACAGGGGTGCCTCACCGATCATCAGTGTAATGGGTGCAGAGCTGCTGTGGACCACCAGGCCGTTGAGATTGAGGCGCGCGTGGCAGATCACGGGCTGCCAGAAATCGCGGGGTCCAGCAGGAAACTCGTAGGTCAAGGTCACGTTGGCCAGATCCAGGCCGGTGAAGCGCTCCAGGCTTTCGGAATAGATGATCCGGCCGCCGCACCTCAGAGTCACCACCAAGTAGCCCACGGGGAACACATGTGTCACGTGGCAGCGCAAAGTGTATTTCCTGCCCTCTAAGACTGGAGGCTCCAAAATCACGCTGTGGGGCGGTTCTAAGGCAAGGGGGACCCTCTGAGTACGGTCCGCGGGCGCCCCCTATAAAGCGACTGTCAACTACCCTCCCCAATCTCTTCCAGCCCCCTCCCTTCACCCCAGCCGGACCGAGCCCCTATCCCTCACTGTAGGCGGTGATCCTGGCGGTGGCCCAGCGCGTTTTTCCTGCGCAGGTGACAAAGCAGTGCGCCTGGGAGCTCCAGGCCCTCACGTCGAGCAGCTGGTAAAGCACCCAACCCGGCCCTCTGAGCGTCTTGCCCTGCTGCAGCCGGGTTCGGAGGCTGGAACTCTGCGGCTGGGGACAGCTGTTGCTGCAATTGAGCCACACTGACCCTCCCGGCGGCACAGCCACGAACTCCGGGCTCACTCGCACCCAGAAGGGCACTGAGGTCCCCGGGGGCGTGGGAGAGCTACCCTTGGAGCCTCGTGCCCGCTCAGTCCCGCGTCCCAGAGCACTCCCAACTCCCGGGTAAGCGGCCGCCAAAAAAAGCAGCAGCGACAGGGGAAACAGAGACCCCATGGCAAAAAGCCCGGACTGAGGGGCCCCGCGCCAGACAGCCAGGGCTGGCTCTGGAGATAAGGAGGCCCGCAGCCCCGCCTCCTCAACTCCGCCCTGGAAAGGGAGGGGAGGCCCCATCAGAGGGCCCAGGAGTCCCGCAAAAAGAGATTCTTCTCCCCGGGTCAAGAATGGGATTCCAGGCCGGGCGCGGTGGCTCAAGTCTGTAATCCCAGCACTTTGGGAGGCCGAGGCGGGTGTATCACCAGGTCAGGAGTTTGTGACCAGCCTAGCCAACATGGTGAAACCCCGTCTCTACTAAAAAAAAAGTCAGGTGTGGCGGTGCCTGCCTGTAATCCCAGGTACTCAGGAGGCTGAGCAGGATTATTGCTTGAACCCAGGAAGCAGAGGTTGCAGTGAGCCGAAATCGCCCACTGCACTCCAGCCTGGGCCACCAAGCAAGACTCCATCTCAAAAAAAACAAAAAAGGCTGTGGGGTGGTGGATTCCAGGCCTCATTGGAAACCAAATTTTTTTTCTGGAGAGGAGTCTTCAGTTTTCACTACAGACCCAGAAGGTCATAGATAGTCCCAGATTTGGACCAGAACCTCAAGGTATGGCCACTGGTTCACATTGTTTTTCTTGGGGGAGGAAGAGGGAGAATCGGGCTGTGGCTGCTTAGAAAGGACTCCAGCTGGATGTGCCACCTCCCCTCAACTCACACAAAGCAGAGGCAGATGAGAAAAGCTTTATTAGCACAAAGGAAGTCTGGGCAATGTCGCGACACCCTGTCTCCACAAAAAAGTGCAATTTGCCGGGTGTGGTGGTGTGCATCTATGGCCCAGCCACTCAGGAGGCTGAGGTGGGAGGATCACTTGAGCTCAGCAGGTCAAGGCTGTAATGAACTATGATTGCACCACTGTACTCCAGCCTGGGTGACAGAGCGAGACCTTGTCTACAAACACACACACACACACACACGGAAGAGGATGCCACAGCTGGGATGGAGTCCTCCATTACCTTGGCCCCCTTACATACACACACACACACACACGAAAGAGGCTTCTAGAGCTGGGAGGGAGTCCTCCAATACCTTGGCCCCCTGCCCCCTGCTTGCAGGGCTCTGTTCACTGCAGGAAGTTGGAGCTGTGTAGTTCGAGGTCCCACTGAACTGCAAACAGAACAAAGCAGAGGTCGAGCATATTCTCTGGGCACTCTCCAGGCATCACCGCTGTCACTGTGAATGCTTGCAGGAATGTATGTGGGTGGGGAGTGGCTAACAAAGGCGTCCGTTTTTGAGGGGAGGGAGTAAGGCCTCACGGGGTCGCTCCAGTTCTGAACCTGTAACCATCACTAGTCCATATAGTGCTTTTGTGCCGAATAGAAAAATCACTCCTTCTGGGGAAAGGCAGGTTGGTCAACGAGAAGTCCCAACCCCATTTGATCATTTTGCCAGGCATTCTTGTGCAGTGTACAACCTGTACAACTGTACCTGGTGACCCTGAATGTGACTGTGGCTGGGAGCTCCGTGAGGCCAGAGACCTATGTTCATCTTGTTTGCCATCCTGACCTACATAAAAAGCACTCAATAAATAGCTGGTAAAATAAAAAATGAATAAATACATATCAAGGGTTGGGGACAGTCAATAGACAGCAGTGCCCAAGCTGGCATCTGTCAGGAAGTGCGGGCATTTATGTTTTGATGCGACACGTGTCTGTGCAGGGCCACTTCTTCCGTAGGGCTGTGGGGCGTTAGCATACCCCATGGCCAGCGAATTTCAGTATTTCCTGGCTGTGTGTCCTTGTGGTAGGGGTATGTTTCCCCCACCCCTTCCCCTCTCGCCAGGCTAGACTTTGACGTCCATCACAGTCACATCTTGAGTCTTGCCCCTTCCTCTTGGCTTAGTCACGTGACTGCGGATCACATGCCTGGCCTAGTGTTTTCGGTGTGCAGCAGGTGCCATGGCCCCAAATGCCATCTGCATCTGACTGAGACCAATGCCCTGCCCTCTGGCATCCCAGGGCCACGGGGTGTAGCTGTATGGCATACGTCTGCCACTCTGTTCTGTGTGGCACCACTACCACCAGATGGGAGAGCCGAGGAAGAGGCCCCGTCCTGGGGTAGGTTCAGGGAGGCGTGGCTTGTGTGATGGGTTTCATGGGGGTCCCGTTTTGAGCCTGTTGGAGTCTGTATTTCCTGATCTTCCTCTGGCGGTTATAGAGGTAGATGGCGATGCCTGCGGTGCCCAGGACGGCTGCAGTCACCACTAGAGCGATGATGACCATCACATACTGGGGGGCTGTGGGGAGGATACAAGGGGTGGTGAGGATTGCAAGAGGCCCATGGCCCTGCCCCACCCAGTCCTGCAGGCAGGATCACTCACAGGGCAAGTTCACCACGTTCACGGTCACCTCGCAGGTGACCTCCCCTCGAGTGCTCGTGGCCCGACAGAGGTAGGTGCCCGCAAGATCCCGTGTGACAGTCACTGATTTCCCGATGGGCAGTGCCAAAGTGCCATCTTTTAGACACTTAAGCTGGGGTGAGGGATTTCCCCAAGCTTGGCATGTCGGAGTCTGCTGGGAGTTTTCTGGCCACGTCCAGTTTCTCGGACAATCCTTCTCGTCCAGCTGGGGGCCATCTGGAAAAACACAAGATGAGATGGAGGTTGGGGACCAGGACACCCCTCCCCATCTAGGACTGTAGGACTTCAGGGAGGGCTCCCCTTATGGGTGGGGGTGGGACTTGGAGGGCAAGAGCTTATGGGACATCAGGAGTTGGGCCTTGGGGGGACAGGGGTCTTTGTCCAGCAGCCTCACTCACACAGCACACGAAGCTCCCGGGTCTGGTTCTTGTGTACAACCTGTCCGGCCACCTCTAGGGTTGCAGAGCAGGAGAAGTTTCGTCCATCGTCCTCGGGCCTGGCCTTCAGCCGTAATTGGGCCCGTGGGCCCAGCGTCTGGGCTGGGACGCCATTCAGCATCACCATGGCTCTGGGGTGGGCCTCACACTTCACGATCACCTCGGTTCCTTCTGAGACCTCAGGCTCCGACAGAATCACTTTGGGTACTGGAAAGCCTGAGGGTGGGCACACAGTGAGCCCTGTCCCCGGTTTAGTTCATACCCCCAGGAAGCCCTGATCTGTCCCCTTCCCGTTCTTACTGTAGACGGTCACTGTCTTCCGCGTCTCCTGGCTCTGATTTCCTAGTATTACTGCACAAAACAGCCGCTGGGTGCCCTCCTCCTCTGCAGTCCCCTTGACCGAGGCCTTGGCCGAGAGGGAGTCGAAGCCATAGGTGATTGTGTGGTTCAGCTTCTGGTCCCCCAGCGCCAGGTGGACCTGGGCCTCCGAGACTGGAAACAGCCCATCCAGGGAACAGACCACGGTCCCCTGCGTATCCACCTCCAGGACCCAGGGGCCGAGAAGTTGTGGGGGAGTCTCTGGCAGGACTGAGGAGAGAGGGTAAGTGTGAGCGGACAGGGATGGATGCCCCAAAGCCCTTCTCAGGGCATTTCATTCCCCTGCTGCAAAATCCTCTTCTAGGGCGACTGAGCAGCCTAGGCCACATATGCCTAGAACACATGCACCCTTCAGCTGGGGCTACACCTTTTTTTTTTTTTTTTTTGAGATGGAGTTTCACCTTGTTGCCCAGGCTGGAGTGCAATGACAAGATCTTGGCTCACCGCAACCTCCATCTCCTGGGTTCAAGCGATTCTCCTACCTCAGCCTCCCAAGTAGTTGGAATTACAGGCATGAGCCACCACACCTGGCTAATTTTGTATTTTATTCCATGTTGGTCAGGCTGGTCTCGAACTCCCGACCTCAGGTGATCCGCCCACCTTGGCCTCCCAAAGTACTACGATTACAGGCGTGAGCCACCGAGTTCGGCAGGCCACACCCTTGTCAGAAGATCCTGAGGCCAGGGGCACCCCATTCCAGGATACTCCACCCTCTCCCTACCGGCTTCCTCAATGCTCACCAAAGGTTTGGAGCTGGTGGGGGGCCGAGATGTTCTCAAACAGTTCCAGCCCTTGGGACCGCAGGTCCAATTCAGTGCGGCACGAGAAATTGGCTCCGTGATCATTTCTGCCTGCCAACACCGTGACCGTGACCTCAGCGGGCTCCCCCAGCTGAGGGACTGGCTGCCGGCTCAGCTCCTCTTCCCCACGGAGCAGCACCACGGTGAGGTTGGCCCGGGGTGCCCCACCCTCCACCTGGCAGCGTAGGGTAAGGTTCTCGCCCACCGGCTGCCAAGCAGGGAGGGGTGCCAGCTCCACCCGTTCTGGAGTCCCTGTAGGAAAACAGAGGTGGGGGTGAACTGGACCTTGCTGCCTGCCCAGCACATGAACCGCACCTGTCTGGGAGCCCCAGCTCTTCAGTATCTCCCCCAAACACGCCCAAACACCTCAGCAGATAGGAATGTCAAGATCTTCAGGGAAAGCTGGTAAGAGGGCCCCAAGTGTTTGTGAAGGGGATCAAAAAATTCCTTATTCGTGACAGCAGCATCTTAGAGTGAAAAGTGGAAAAGAACTTTTTTTTTTTTTTTTTTTTTTCCTTTTATGTCTTTCTCACTCTTTGTTGCCAGGCTGGAGTGCAGTGGCGTGCTCTTGGCTCACTGCAACCTCTGCCTCCCAGGTTTAAATGATCCTCCTGCCTCAGCCTCCCGAGTAGTTGGGACTACAGGCACTTGCCACCGTGCCCAGCTAATTTTTATACTTTGAGTAGAGATGGGGTTTCACCATGTTGGCCAGGATGGTTTCAATCTCCTGACTTTCCACCCACCTTGGCCTCCCAAAGTGCTGGGATTATACAGGCGTGAGCCACTGCACCCGGCCTGTGAACTTCACAGTCTATTGCTAGAGGTCTGGTCAAATAAGTTCAGCAGCCCAGTGCACTAAACTGGGCAACCAGCGGTGTGATCTCAGCTCACTGCAACCTCCACCACCGGGGTTCAGCCGATTCTCCTGCCCCAGCCTCCTGAGTAGCTTGAATTACAGGCACACACCACTGCACCTGATTAATTTTTTTGTTTTTATTTTTATTTATTTGTTAGACTGAGTGTCCTTCAGTCGCCCAGGCTGGAGGGCAATGGCTCCATCTCAGCTCACCGCAACCTCTGTCTCCTGAGTTCAAGCAATTCTCCTGCCTCAGCCTCCCAAGTAGATGGGATTACAGACATGCACCACCACACTCAGCTAATTTTTGTATTTTTAGTAGAAACGGGGTTTTCAGCATGTTGCCCAGGCTTGTCTCGAATTCCTGATCTCAAGTGATCTCTCAGCCTCCCAAAGTGCTGGGATTACAGGTGTGAGCAAACATACTAGGCTTTGACATTCTTTAAAAAACAAAAACAGTCCCTGCGCAGTGGCTCACGCCTTTAATCCCAACAACACTTTGGGAGGCGGAGGTGGGCGGATCACAAAGTCAGGAGATCGAGACCATCCTGAGGCCAGGAGTTCAAGACTAGCTTGGGCAACATTGTGAGACCCCATTTCTGGGAAGAAAAAAACAACAACACACATTTAAAAATAAGCCAGGCTTCGGCTAGGCATGGTGGCTCATGCCTGTAGAGGCCGACGTGGATGGATCACCTGAGGTTAGGAGTTCAAGACCAGCCTGACCAACATAGCAAAACCCTGTCTCTACTAAAAATAAAAATAAAAAAATTAGGCTGGGCATGGTGGTTCACACCTGTAATCCCAGCACTTTGAGACGCCGATGCAGGCAGATCACAAGGTCAGGAGTTGAAGATCAGCCTGGCCAACATAGTGAAACCCTGTCTCTACTAAAAAAACAAAAATTAGCCAGGCATGGTGACACATGCCGGTAGCCCCAGCTTCTCAGGCAGGAGGATGGCTTGAACCCAGGAGGTGGAGTTTGCAGTGATCCGAGACTATACCACTGCACTCCTTCTTGGGCAACAGAGTGAGACTTCATCTCAAAAACAACAACAACAACAACAACAAAAAACAAGAAAACAAAAATTAGCTGGGTATGGTGGTGGATGCCAGTAATCCCAGTTACATGGGAGACTGAGGCAGGGAGAATCACTTGAGCCTGGGAGGTGGAGGTTGCAGTGAGCTGAGATTGTGCCACCGCACTCCAGCCTGGGCAACAGAGAGAGACTCTGTCTCCAAAAAAAACAAGCTGGGCTTGGTGGCTCACACCTGTAGTCCCAGCCACTCAGGAGGCTGAGGGTGGGAGGAGGATTTCTTGAGTCTGGGAGTTTGAGGCTGCAGTGAGCTATGATTGTGCCACTGTACTAGTCTGGGTGACAAAGTGAGACTGTGTCTAAAAATAAAACAGCTGTTAAGCTGTTAAACAATATATACATAAGGTCAAGAAAACTCTGACTTCCAGCTCTTATCTCTCACCATCTCCTACAAACTCTTGCAGAATTTGAGGCGGCCTGGAGCCTCAGCCCCTGGAGGAAACCCAGCTCGGCTGCCTGGTGGTGGGGTTGGGGGAATGTCTCTTCTGCTCTCACCTCTTCTTGACCCTGACCTTCAGTCCTTTTCCAAATCCTGGTCACTGAACTATTCAAATATTTCCCTGTCCTTCCCTTCTTGGATATGGTCACTGCCCACAACGTGGGCTACCTGGACAAGGACCAGAGCCAACTGCTCTGTGGTTTCCTGTAAATCTAGCCTTCAGCTTATCTGATCCCTGGCCTGCTCACAAACCCTCCACAACTCCTGAGGACGAGAAAGTCCCAGCTCCTCCACTTGGTATTCAAGGCCCTGCCAACCTCACCCCGCTTCCCAACAATATTTTTTTTTTTTTTTAGAAGCAGGGTCTCACTCTGTCACCCTGGCTAGAATGCAGTGGCACAATCATAAGCTGACTGTAACCTCCAATTCCTGGGCTTGACCTGGCTCAGTGGCACACCTGTAATCCCAGCACTTTGGGAAGCCAAGGAGGTGGATCACTTGAGGTCAGGTATTCAAGACGCCGTCTCTACTAAAAATACAAAAATAATTTAGCTGGACATGGTGGTGGGCACCTGTAATCCCAGCAACTCGGGAGGCTGAGGCAGGAGAATCGCTTGAACCCAGGAGGCAGAGGCTGCAGTGAGCCAAGATGGCACCATTGCACGCCAGCCTGGGCCACAGATGGAGACTTCATTTCAAAAAATAAAAATAAAAAAATTTCTGGGCTCAAGTGATCCTCCCACTTAAGCCTCCAGAGTAGTTGGGACTACAAGCATATGCCACCATGGCGGGCTTTTTTTTAAATTTTCTTAGAGATAGGGTCTCCCTATGTTGCCCAGGCTGGTCTCGAACTCCCGGGCTCAAGCAATTGTCTTGCTTCAGCCTCCCAAAGTGCCAGGATTACAGGCCTGAGCAACCGTGCCCAGCCCACACCAACTTACTGCTGTTGGGCCCCTCCTGCCCCCATCAAGATTTCTCCCTGCTCCAAACTTTTGCCCAGGCTGCTCCCCTGCCCAGAATGCCTGTCTTTATGAACTCCTACACATCCTTTAAAGCCCAGCTGGTGGTCACCTCCTCTAGGAATTACACCTCTAACCTTTTTGGAGAAGACTGAGCCATCCAGGGAGGCTTCTTTCTGTTTACACTATGGGTGGGGCAAGACCAAGCTCCAGTCTCTAAGTGACACACCCCCACACACCTTTTACCCCTTTGCTACCTGTGCCGGCTGTCTGCTCCCTTTCACAGAAGTAAGAACTAAGGCAAACTGGGGCACCCCCAGTCACAGAGGAAGAAATGTGGCAGAGCCAGGAGTCAAACCTGGAGTTGTACGCTTTCAACTACCAGGCAGAGCTGGGCACAGTGTGCTATGCCTGTAATCCCAGCACTTTGGGAGGCTGAGATGGGTGTATCACCAGGGGTCAGGAGTTTGAGACCAGCCTGGACAACGTGGTGAAACCCTGTCTCTACTAAAAATTCAAAAATTAGCCAGACTTGGTGGCGGGTGCCTGTAATCTCAGCTACTCAGGAGGGAGGATGAGGCAGGAGAATTGCCTGAACTTGGGAGGTGGAAGTTGCAGTCAGCGGAGATTGCACCACTGCACTCCAGCCTGGGCGACAGAGTGAGACTGTCTAAAATAATAATAATAATAAAGCCTATCAGGCAGAGATGCAGAAAAGTCCTTCAAAGAGCTTTCTCTGGGGTTTTTAGAGGCTGCTGGGAATGTTTGCGGACTTCCCTCACCTGGGAAGGTCAGCATCTGCTCACCTACCCTTCAAATCAGAAGCAAAGCTGATCATTTACCCAGAGGCTTCCTTGCCCTGGCACAATGACAGCAGAATGTCCTTTCTCCCTCACTGTGTCATTTTACCCATCAGAGGAGGTCTCACCTGATTGCAAAGTAAACCCAGAAGCCACATCCTCCAAGCTATTAAGGGTCTTGTTGGGACCAAAGGCTAATCTCAAAGCTACCTGGCCAGTTTTTATTTTTAGAGACAGGGTCTTGCTCTGTCACCCAGGCTGGAGTGCAGTGGTGTCATCACGGCTCATTGCAGGCTTGACCTCTTGGTCTCGGGCGATCTTCTCACCTCAGCCTCCTGAGTAGCTGGGATTATAGGTATACCACCATGCTTGGCTAGTTTTCTTATTTTTTGTAGATATGGGGTCTTGTTGTGTTGACCAGGCTGGTGTCCAACTCCCGATCCTCCTGCTTTGGCCTCCTAAATCACGGCGATTATAGGCATGAGCCACTGTGCCTAGCTTGCCTAATTCTCTTCTGTTTTTCCTTCTTTGATTTTGTTTTGTTTTCATTTGAATTTCTTTTTTGTCTTGGTAACTCATTCCCACCATTCAAAGTCTCCAAAGTAGGAAGAACACAGAGAGAATTGTTGGCCAGGTGTGGTCGCTCACACCTGTAATCCCAGTACTTTGGGAGGCCGAGGCAAGTGGATCACCTGAGGTGAGGAGTTCGAGACCAGCCTGGCCAACATGGTGAAACCCCTTTTCTACTACAAATATAAAAATTTGCTAGGGATGGTGGTGGGTGCCTGTAATCCCAGCTACTTGGGAGGCTGAGGCATGTCGATCACCTGAGGTTGGGAGTTCGAGACCAGTCTGACCAACATGGAGAAACCCCATCTCTGCTAAAAGTACAAAATTAGCCAGGCGTGGTAATGCATGTCTGTAATCCCAGCTCCTCAGGAGGCTAAGGCAGGAGAATCCCTTGAACCTGGGAGGCAGAAGTTGCGGTGAGCTGAGATTGTGCCATTGCACTCTAGCCTGGGCAACAAGAGCGAAACTCTATCTCA